GCATCGCTTCTAGTAACAAGTGCCTTACTAGTAGTAACAAGAAGCTACTAGGAACAAGTGCATCGCTTCTAGTAACAAGTGCCTTACTAGTAGTAACAAGAAGCTACTAGGACCTAGGAACAAGTGCATCGCTTCTAGTGACAAGTGCCTTACTAGTAGTAACAAGAAGCTATTAGAAACACGTGATTTGGCAACCTCGTACTGACCGGCAGGGAGTGTGCTGGTTCATAAGATACCAGCGTTGCAGACCTGCCCAGGTTGTGTTTGGCATCGACTGGGCAATGTTTCGCTGGCTGAATGTTGAGCAAAACTGTTATGCACGTTCAATCATATCTTTGGACGGAGTCCTTAAACATACCAAGAGCGCCCCTAGTGGCGTCCTTGCTACTAGTAGTACGGCCAGGAGCCCCTAGTAGCGTCCTTGCTCCTAGTAGCGATGCACGTTCACTCATATCCTTGGAAGGGAGTCCTTAAACATCGGCCAGGACTTGTGAAAGCTTGTGGAAGTGTTTGGCCAGGTGAGTGCAAACAGGGCTGGGCTGGCGTCTACTGTGAGCAGTGTGCACCAGGCGGCCAGAAGCAAAGGGTCACCGGATGGGCGATGCGAGTCCTTGACTGATCACATGGCAGGCTACTATCCAGAAGGTGCCTGCGATGTGGAATGTGATGCTGGGAACTCAGTACACATGTATTCTTGAAGTCCATGTTGCAAGCCAGAACTTGAAAAATGCATTGAGAGCGTTGAGAGGGGCAAGGGTCCATTTGTGTGACTGTGATGGTCTCCAACCTAATAGCAAAAGGAACCTACTAGCGATGGCCTCCACCCTAGAAGCGATGGCCTCCAGAACTTGTTCACCTTGGAGTCTTCTTTCTGCAAGGGTTTCAAACAAGTTCACTTGTGCATCATCTCAGTTTGGAGCCACCTGCAACCTCAACGGCATTTGCGGGCCCGGTGGACATCGGACATCCGTGGACGGTTTGGACCATGAGAGTGAGCAAAGACGACGCAGCGACGCATGGTCCAAGAACATGCTGACGTGCGATGTAAGATGACTGACTCTTCTGGGGTGTAAGCACGATCATGTTGCTCTGACTTCGAAGCTCAGGTCGTACAATCTATCGCTCCATGTTGGTCGAAATGCTCGTGAATTGGGGCGGACAGATCTCTTTGACATTCACCCCCATAGAGAAGTTCTCCTCAAGAAGAGTCATTCGAACCGAGAAAATAGAAGCAAACAGAGAAATGGACAGTCCTGCAGCCCTTCACCTGGCCTCAATCACCCATGTACCCATGGCAGGCCGCAGGGTACGTGCATTTGCGATGACCTTTGGGAAGGCATCGAAGAGCTGATGAGCCGAGTTGAACGCAGGAGAAGGTTGAACATGGAAAGAATTTTAGCTGGAAAAGGTCACAATGATCAGTAGCGATGCCAGGAGCCACTAGTAGCTTCTTGTTACTAGTAGTAAGGATGCTCCTAGTAGTAAGGCTAGGAGCCCCTAATAGCTTTTTGTTACTAGTAGCAATACATATCGATACTGTCACATGATTGTCGTATGATGTTGTATGTGTCCTTTTGAAGATCAACCTCGACCCAAGTGAAGCCTGTTTGAAGCCAAAGTTAACATGTCCCGTAGCACTCAATTGCTTCAATCCGCCTATCGAGGTATTTTTATTGTTTGATCCTTCGAGTTTACTTGCATCCAATCCTCTAATGTTTCTAATAACTTCTTGTCACTACTAGTAAGGCACTTGTTACTACTAGCGATGCACTTGTTACTACTAGCGAACATTGTTTAGTTAATAGGTAGGGTTGACCTGTTTCAGGTATTTTTATTGACTCTCGTAGCGTCCGATCGCT